CGGGGGCGGCCACAGGGCAGGGACGGGGCACGGAGATCCTCCAGCAGCTCAGGTGCCCCCAGGACCCCACAGGCCCTGAGCAGGACAGACCCCTCCATCCGCAATGCTGTGGGGCAGCCGACAGAAAGGCTGGTCAGGGGCTCTGGCCGGTGTAGCTCAGTGGATAGAGCAGCGGCCCTCGGACGGAAGGGTCCCGGGTTCGATTCCGGTCAAGGGCATGTGCCTCGGTTGCAGGTTCCCCGGCCCTGGTTGGGGTGCTTGCAGGAGGCAACGAATCGAGTGTCTCTCTCACATCGATGTTTCTCTCTCTGTCCCTCTCCCTTCTCCTCTCTCTAAAAATCCATGGAAAACTATCCTGGGATGAGGATTAACAACAAAAAGAGAGAGAGAAAGAAAGATTGCTCAGGAGTTCTCTCCGGACGAGAGGATAAGCCACAGCTCGCCTCTCGTTCCTCTCCCGGTAACGCACATCACCGTCTCCACCAGGATCCACGGGTTGGGCGAGGCCCTGCTCCCGGTGCTCGCCGCTCAGATGTTAGGAAAACGGCTTCCTCCCTACGGGGCGCGAGGTGAGTATGTGGCCAACAGATGGGCCGACGGGCGCCTCCCGTGTCTCTACTGTGGTTATTGAAATAGGAAGATCCTGGGCTCTGCCAGGTCAGATGCGGGGCCGCGGCCCAAGGGGGTGGGAGCAGAGGTTCCGAGGCCCCGTGTGAATTCCAGACGGAGGCGGCGGGAAAGCAGCCAAGGGCGCGGCCGCGATGGGACAGTTGGCTGCACGGCTGGAATGAGGTTCCACCAACTACACGCAGAGGGAACAGGCTGAGGGGCTGGGAACGGCGCTCTCCCCGCGGCCCCCCCTCCTGGCACTCCCCCTCCCCGCTTGAGTGGGCTCGTGAGGAGTAGCTATTTAAGTATAAGATTTCTTTGGCAAAGCAGCAGTTGACAGCTTCAGCCCAGCACCTGCCTGAAAGTTCTTGCTAATTCAGGGAGCCCCTTCCTCTGCCTCGGTGACGTGGTGATGTCACTTTTTAGTTGTGGCGGATCCGCAACAAAGATACCTGAGGAGGACTGGAAAACATCGCTAAAGCTCTGTAAGCCATTTCATTCATTTTCTTTAAAAATCTAAAACCATTACATCAAAAT